TTTTTTCTTAACTTACACTCATAACAGTTTTTCCATCTAGTTTATCAAACTTACTTTCGAATTAAGGTATTTTTATAGGCAAAATTAAAAAGATTGTCGAATAATTTTGTGTTTGTGAACAGAACCGTTAGAGATTTACAGTAAAAGCACGCATAATAGCTGACTTCGAGCGGAGAAGTGTGTTGTTTTGGTTTGTTTCAAGTTAATTAAGCACAAAGCTACACAATGGGCTATCTGTGCTCTGCCCACTACGGGTATCGAAACCCGGTTTATAGCGTTGTAAGTCCGCAAACATGCCACTGTGGGGCGTAGTTTTCGGAATTGGGCAATTTATCCATGACAAAAAAATAAAACTATCAAAGCCTTAAATTTTCGATCTAGTTGTCAAAATCTAGGCCAAAAGACGTGCCTTCAGGGTATAAGTTCTTTCCTTTGAAAACATTCCAAGGGTTTTCCCCTGGTGGTAATTTGTTCGTGGAATTTGGCTAATCTATAAAGATTTTACATAATGGCTGAAGTCATCAACACATTGGAATACAAGCGACATATTTCTATTATAAAGCACATTTAACACTGCGACAATGAATACATTTATATGTAGCTTATGAAATCAAATAATCGTGGCAAAACCTAACTGTCCCTATAGCCTCCATATGAAGCGCAGGTTATTTTTGTTCCGATCAGTTACATATTAGCAAAAAATAAGCACCTCTCGGCTTGAAGGTATGCAACCAGTGATTTATTTTCAACTTCTGAAAGATACATTGTGGTTTATTTCGACACTTTCACGTGTCCTCTTCAGTCCAACTTTTCTTTGTGAGAGAAACACGTACAATATATTTTGTAACGGCCGTTCCAAGTCCCTTGAGGCCATATGACGTCAGTAAGAGGTTCAGTTTGTAGTGACCTTCTGAGATGTTGAAGTTTGGCAATTTTTGAACTAACGAACTTTCTACAATTTCTCTTTTGACATAATTTATAGTTTTATGTATAATTTTGGCTGATTTCCAGTTAATTATATGATCAATATTTCTCATTATATGTTTAACCATTTTTAACATCCCTTCTATGTCTCGTATCTAACTTTCTACCCGTTTCACCCACATAAACTTGGTCACAAGACTGACAGAGGACTAGACAGACTCCTTGTTCTATATTTTGAGGTGCAGATATGTTCGTAGGTAGGAAGTTCTTAATGGTTTTTGGGATATTTATAAACAACTTTGAAATTGGTGTTTATGACACATTTCTCTAGAGCCACAATATTAGAGCTGCAGTTGACTCTGAGTAGTTTATTTTTATTTTCATATGTAGATGATGCTGTTTGTTGGCTATTGTTCCTATAAAATGTCTTCCTTGCCTTATGATAAGCATTTTTGATAAAACCCATAGGATATTGTACCCGTTTGAGGATTGTATAAAAGTTCTTGATTTCTTCGTCAAGGGTTCGTATGATGACATATTCTGAATACTCTTAGAAGCAATAGTGCATGTAAACTTTATTTTATATAAAACATTATTTTGTTTTCTTTTTATTGCACAACTCTCTGATGTTTGGATAAAGACACATGGGTCACAGCGTTACCATTTTAATATTGATATAAAGCTTCTCTCGTTCAGAGCTGCTTGTTTGTTTTTTGAATTTTGCGCGCAAAGCTACACGAGGGCTATCTGCGCTAGCCGTCCCTAATTTAGCAATGTAAGACTAGAGGGAAGGCAGCTAGCTATCACCACCCACCGCCACATTATAACGCCCTCACGGCTGAAAGGGCGAGCATGTTTGGTGTGACGGGGATTCGAACCCGCGACCCCCAGATTGCGAGTTGAGCGCCCTAACCACCTGGCCATGCCTTGTTCAGAACTGTTTTGAGATAACTTTTGTGCATTACTCAATGTCCACAGGGTGCCAATACTTTTGAATGCCAGCAAAGACTTTTAAGCTAAACCAGAAGTTTGTTTATTGTATAATTTTCATGCAAAGCTTAAAAATGCGGCAACAGCATATTTTAAAAGATGTTTAAACTATTCTAAATCAAATAAAAATTAGAAGAAAAAAGACCCTGTTCGATCCTCGCAATGGGAATAGTGCAGATAGCCCATTGCACCAAGCCTTTTGTTTTGTATATATCCTATTGGTCATTTTGTCTATTACTATGATATAAAAACAGCACTGTTCAGCCAAAGTATTTTGTGGAGAATAAAAAAGCAGATTTCATCGTGGTGTGGCTTTCATTAACCATAGTTTAACTTGGTATGGTAATTCCATTATCCTAAGAAGCCGATGTGTCCTGACCCCAGAGGTACTACTGATTAAAAGTAATATAGACGGTTCTCTCTTAGTGGATGGCGTAACAGTTATTTCTGCTTTGAAAAAGTGCAGCTTTGTGCTTTACAATAAACATATTCTCAAGTTTAAATGTTACATTAAACATAAATCATTCCTAATTTTGAACTGATAGACTAGAGGGAAGGCAGATAGGCAATAGCAACCAACGTGGCTGTTCTGCTACTCTATCTATTCGAATAGTGGGATTTAAATGTCACTCTCAAAGCGCACTCATGGCTCCAAGGTGCTGAGCGCGTTTTAGGGGCAATGGGTTGCAAACCAAGAATCCTCAGATTCACAGTCCGAAAACGCTAACCACTATGCCACGCTAAGCCAAAACTCATTGTACAGTGATTTTTGGCTTAGCTTTTAATTACTTAAATTCACGCCTACCGATGGCTTGACTGTAAAGTTGAAGACAGCCCGTTACATCAGGCCTTTTTGTCTACTAGTATGGTATACAAATAACAATGTTGAGCCAGAAAACTGCTATGAAAAACAAAACTAACCAGTGTTAATTTGGTATGGTTACTCCATCATCCTAAGAGTCCGGAGGTCCTGAACCCCAAAGATTAGTAATACTGCATAAAGTCATACAGACGCTACTATCTAGCTGGATGGCCTACTAGTTATCTCTGCATAAAAATATAAAAGACAAAGGCCTGCGTTAAGCAGCTTTATACTTTACAATAAATGTATTCGCAACTTCAAATGTTACATAAGATATAATTTCACATATTATTTAATACAAACATTATTAAAGCTTATAAGCAATTAGGCTTAATCAAGAACTGTTAGGCTGCTTAATTTATAATTACTGCAATTCACAAATTCAAACGGTACACGGAGTACAATATTGCATATTAAAAAACAAAGTGAAATTCTATTTATATTATTTCTCCATTCTAAGCTAAAATAACAAAACCCAAACCATAAAACCATAGCGTTCTATACAGGGAACTGTGGTTGGTTTAAGACATAAAATGATCTCTCTGTGTTCTAGGTTTGAATAAACAGTAGCGATTGGTTCATTTTGATATATTTTATACATGTGATCTATCTTTTCCTACTTGAGTTATTCCATGTAAAACATTCAGTAACACCTACAGAATGAACTTTCCTCTCAGTACTCAAGCCAGTATTAAGCATTTTTGAAGCTAGGTGCCTACTGGTTAGTGATGGTTACTTTCGAAAGTAGTAATGTCAGAAGTTTTCTACTGTTTGTGTTAGGTATCGCCGGTAATGATGTATGTTATTTGAGTCGATTTTATACACAATTTTAAAGATAGAGTTAACGGAAAACTTAAACTCAACAAGGACAAGGTCACTCAAGGCTATCGAGATTTGAAGACTTGTAATATTACATATGCCAACATAACAACGTCTGTGATTGGTCCAAGCCATGGAGGCCTATGAATGCTCCGAATGCTGACGCTTGGTTTTTGCCCGAAGGCAAGTGTAATGCACCCAGCGAGGTCCTCGCCTTAGACGTGACCGATTTTCTTTTGGCAAAGTAATTATCTGCCTAGCTGTACACGTAATCCCACCACCAACCAATCAGTGACGTGATGGGGACGTTCGCTCGGCGCTAAGCTGTACAAACGTCATATAGGCCAAGAACTTCGTGCGGTTATGATCCTTGTAGGGATGAGTTGTGTTTACCTTTGTTTATTTTGGTGCCAAAATTGGAAATATACGCAGGTTAACTAAACTAAAAACTAATCCCCCCCCCCCTATTTGCTGATGCAATCTTAAATTTAGGCGTTTTGAAACGACTACCTTTGTTTAGTGTAGACAGGACAACAGCGCCCCTAAAATCGTCAAATCAAGTGTACAACGAAGCAAATTTAATGAACGTACTATGATGACCCGTACATCTCTGTTGGTGGCGATCTATGTTGTCTTGTTGGCCCCACTAGGTGAGAATTTAATTTAGAAATCACAGTCCATGGAATTGTACAAACTTGACGTTTAGAATGCATACAATATATATTCTGAGAAATTTGTGAGTATAGAAAATAAAATTAATCTTAGAAATAGAATTACCCATCAGTTCTTATGACTGAAGAAAACATTAAAAATATGCTAAGAAAACAAGATGTGGCGAGTAACTCTTGTATGTGTTTAGAAAAGTTTGTATAATTTTCCAGGAAACAATTGTAGATATATTTACAAAACGTTTAGGTAGTGTGGTAGATGTATTGAGGAAAGGCTTGAAGTAATGTTGAGGTAGGATGGTAGGGATATTGAGGAAATGGTTGAAAACATGTTGAGGTAGCATGGTAGATGTATTGAGGAAAGGCTTACCTCAACCTTTCTTTCCCATCCTCCTACCTCAACATTACTTCAAGCCTTTCCTCGATATACCTACCATCCTACCTCAACATTACTTCAAACCTTTTCTCAATACATCTAAAACCTTTTCTCAATACATCTACCATACCTCAACCTTTCTTTCCCTACCTCAACATTACTCCAAGCCTTTCCTCAATATCCCTACCATCCTCATGGTAGATGTATTGAGAAAAGGTTTGAAAGAAAGGTTGAAAATATGTTTTTCCGGTAGTAAGGACAGTTTTTAAAGTTTGATTTTTGTTTAAAGTTTCTACTCTCGAGTTGTTCAAGTGTTGCTTTTCCTTATCAATATATATCTGTTGTATCTTGTCTTACTTGTTGTCATTGCAAAGTCTTTTGATTGCTATCTTGATTTTGAAGTTTTAGAATAAATTCTCATAAAGTCAAACATATCCTGCATGATGTTTTGTGTACATTGTGTGCAAGAAAACTAAGAAAAATACAATATACAGTTTTTATGGCTTTTAAACAATGTGTGTGTGAACAGGATTGCACACAGTTTCGTGATAACATAAAATATACGCTTTGTTCTAGTTCTGATATTATTGTGATGTATACATAAACATGAGGCCTTTATAAAAAACAGTCCCATATTTCAGGCAGATGCAGTCCATAATTTTGAAATCTCAAAATACAGATTTCAGAGATTATCTTCAGAGTAGGTGTTCGTCCCAAGAAAAAAAACAAACAATTTTCTTATTTACAACAAATTAGTTGAGTGTTAATTTTTAGTTTACGTATATAGATGCATGTAAGTGTTTCGTTATTTCCATGGCCAGAACAAATTATAAACTTTGGGAGGGATTGAGATGTTTTGTAGCCTGTAAAATGAAAAAAAAAACTGTAATGCTTGGTAAATTCAAGGATAGCTATAACGAATGGTACAACTCAGAGGCGTAGAAACCGAGGGTGTTGTAGCACCCTCGCTTTAACATATTTTACATATAGCAACTGTAAATTATATTGTTATATTAATTTTCTGGGGGTATGCCCCTAGACCCCCTTAGACTGAGCTGCTTTGGGTAGCAGAACTTCCAAAAGCAGCTCCTCATACTTTTAATCTTTGATTGTAAAATCTGCATGTCTAGACAAACACCCCACTTTGTGACTCCTTCATACATCACTGGTACAACTAATAACTTATTTGAATGATCCTGTTTTAAGAAATTATATATATAATACTACAAATGTTTACATCACGTAAGAACGAACACTTAAAATATTGTTACGTCTCCGTTTGTTAATTGATTTCCGTAAAT